GATCACTTGATATCCAGGAGTTTGAGACCAGCCTGGGCAAAATAGCAAGACCCCATCTCTATGAAAACTTTTTTTTTTGAGACAGAGTTTCACTCTTGTTGCCCAGGCTGGAGTGCAATGACTCGATCTCAGCCCACTGCAACCTCCGCCTCCAGGGTTCAAGCCATTCTCCTGCCTCAGTCTCCTGAGTAGCTGGGATTATGCATTCACCACCATGCCCAGCTAATTTTTGTATTTTTAGTAGAGACGGGGGTTTCACCATGTTGGCCAGGCTGGTCTCGAACTCCTAACCTCAGGTGATCTGCCTGCCTCAGCCTCCCAAGTGGTAGGATTACAGGTGTGAGCCACTGCGCCCCTCCTACAAAAACCTTTTTTTTTTAATTGGCTGGGCATGGTGGTGGGTGCCTGTAATCCTAGTTACTTGCCAGGCTGAGGCCAAAGGATTGCTTGAGTCCAGGAGGTTGAGGCTGCAGTGAGCCATGATGGTACCGCTGCGCTCCTGGGCAACAGAGTGAGATCTCATTGCAAAACAAAGATATACGTGTCTTTAAAAAAAAAAAAAAAAAAAAAGGAACCATACTAAAATTTGAGTGACTTTATATTTTAATCTTATTGCAAATTTTCCGTTAAAATTCTGATGAAATGGGCAAGGCTCTGGCTGAACCAAGCTAGACATGTTGGCCTGCCCTTCCCTCCTGCCACTCATCTTTGAGCTTATTCCATCCAGAACATTTGAGAGCGGCTGCTGGCTGAGCTCGGAAGTTAAGCCAGATTATAAAGTTTCTTTGACACCCCCCCCGCCCCGCCCCAGCTTCCAGCAGCTCTGAAAGTCTAAGACAGCCAGCTCAGACTGCCTTAGGAGCTGGCAGGGACTTTGACAACAGAAATGCACAGAAAAAAACGTGCCCTGAGAATGCCAACATGTGGAATCTGAAAGCAACTAATGAAATGCTCTCAAGAGTGATTCACTTCCTCTTGGCCAAAGACAGGCTTGCAAATGAAATAGACGCTTCAGCTATAGACCAGCCTAAGATATCCACGTTTATACTCTGGGCCACCAAGCAAAAGATTATAACTGAGCCTCGTACCCCTAGTACCCCTGGAAACATTTTGGAACTCTCCTGTTGTGAGCTTTGGAGAGCTGCTGGGATAGATCAGACAGAAATGTGACCCCATGTGTTAAATCCTAGAAGACAGGGAAATTGGCTAGCAACACAACATAACAATGAAGGGCTCAAACTCAGGTCTCAAAGACCCAGCCTCAAGTCCAGCTCCACCTCTTTGGATGAATTCTATGGCTTTTCTGTGCTTACGTTCTTTTTATCATTTATTTTACAAAAAGGAGAGAATACTGTACAGTCTTTCTGTGAGGATTCAATGAGATGATGCCCTTAGGCTAGACCTCTGATAGCGTGGAATTCTCAGCAATTAGTTACCGAGTTCCTCCAGGTGCAAGGAAGGCGGGCCCAGAGGGTGAGGCATTCCTTTTAGGCAGCACGCCACCTGCTACCCCCAAGTGAAAATGATATCCTTTAGTTTACGTGATAGAGCTGATCCTTAAAAAGCGGTGCATAATTGTAAGGAATAGAAAGAAATCTACAGCTAGTGCTCTACTTACAACCACGATTGGGACCAGCAGACCGGTCGTAACACGATTTGGTCGTAAGTTGAGTAGGCTATATGCACGCGGAGATGGTAGTGCTGCCGGAAGCTGGTCCACACTGTCGTACGCCCAGCTGGGCAGCGTTTGCGCTGCCAGACGCGGCGCAGTCGTGGCTAGCGATTGTGGTCGTAAAGTCGAATGGTCGTAAGTTGTATAGGTCGTAAGTCGATTAATACCTGTAGTTTGAAAGATAATGAAAATAGAATTTGCCCATTTAGTGTCTACGGAGTGAGAGCTGCCGCTGAACCAGCAGGACCTACCATGGTCTCTTTGTGCCCTCCAGTGGACAGTAAGGGAAATGCCATGATTTTGTCCTCAAAGTCTTATCATTTACCGAACATACGTATGCTGGTGAGAATAATCTCAGTTTACTAGGTTCACTTGTTAAGAAATTTCATTCCGTGGGTTTAAGCAAAATAAAAAAAAAACACACCAGTAGATCTTGACTGTGACCAGAGTCGTTCCATTCATTTTCCAAGAATTCAACTATCACCTAAAATTTTGTTATCATCAGCTGGGCACGGTGGCTTACACCTGTAATCCCAGCACTTTGGGAGGCCAACGCAGGTAGATCTCCTGAGGTCAGGAGTCCGAGACCAGCCTGACCAATATGGTGAAACCCTGTCTCTACTAAGAAGACAACAGTTAGCCAGGCGTGGTGGTGCACGTGAGTAGTCCCTTCTACTCGGGAGGCTGAGGCAGGAGAATTGCTTGAACCTGGGAGGCAGAGGTTGCAGTGAGCCAAGGTCACGCCACCGCACTCCAGCCCGGGCAATGAAGCGAGACTCCATCTCAAAAAAAAACAAAAAAAAAAGTTTTGCTATGATTGAATCGAATACTTGTCAAGAACCTGTGTGTTTGGCATGGTTTTTCTGAGGGGTGTAGGGGTGTGTGGGTGTGCCCTGTTTCCTTTTAAAGCCGTTTATTTATGTCTCCTTCCCTGAGTGTTTATGAGGACAAGACAATGGACGGACAAACCTCCCCCAGCTGTAAGTAATAATACCGCACCCGGAGCGCCCAGAGCCGCTTTGAGTCCCCGTCTTTAGTAGTAGTATAATTGCTGTGAACAATCATCATCACAAGTACTATTTGTTGAATTCCCACGATGTACCAGGCATTTTTATTTATCAGAAGATTTGTTAATCCTGACACCAAGACTGCAAAATGGATGTCATTATCTCCATTTTAGAGATCAGGAAGCTGATGCTCAGCGAGCTTAAATGGTACACCCAAGATCACACAGCTAGTGAGTGACAGGTGAGAATCAGGTCTGACGGACTCCAGAGCCCTCTCCTGCCATGGGGCTGTGGGCCCCTCAGTTGTTCCCTCACATGCCCGGGACTGGCCAGACCCTGAGTCTGAGATGCTGGGGTCCCCTCAGTGCTGCCAGCTCCTCAGTGCCTAAGACTCTTAGGACCACAGAGCCCACGGCCAGTGAATCCAGCAGGGGATTAAATATGCAGATGATGTAAGGCAGCAAAAGTCAGCCCAGGGGCCGGGCGCCATGGCTCACACCTGTAATCCCAGCACTGTGGGAGGCAGAGGTGGGCAGATCAGTTGAGCTCAGGAGTTCGAGACCAGCCTGGCCAACATGCTGAAGCTCCGTCTCTACTAAAAAATTAGTGGAGACTCCATCTCTACAAAAACTAGCTGGGTGTGGTGGCCTGTGCCTGTGGTCCCAGCTACTCAGGAGGCTGATGTGGGAGGATCAGTTCAACCCAGGAAGTCAAGGCTGCAGTGAGCCGTGATCACACCACTGCACTCCAGCCTGGGTGACAAGCCAGACCCTGTCTCCAAAATAAATAGATGAAAAGGGGCTGGGACTGGAAGGCCTGGGTGAGGAAGGGGACATGGTCTCTAGGACACCCCAGTCCTGGCCCTCACACAGCCCCCACAGGGCATTGAGCCAGTCCCCACTGTGCCCACAGCCTGGTGGGCAATCTCTGCCCTTGGTGGGGCCCCGGGAGCAGCACTTTCCTCCCCATTGAACCAGGGGCTCTGCCTGCAGGATGTTCTCTAAGGTTTTCTGGTTCTGAGAATTCTGGGTTTCTCCCAGAGCCCTGGGGGATACCTGGTGAATAGGTTAGTGTGTCTGCTGCCAGGAACCCGGGTCCGGGGGGAGACAGGCGAGGGCACACCCCGAGCAGCTGCAGTTTCCCTCCGGAGAGACTTGCCGCCCACAGGCCTGGAGGAGACTCCCCCGCCTCCGCAGCCCACTCCTGCTTTGTCTCCTAGGATAGGACAGCACAGGATGGGGTGGGACAGACAAGGACGTCACACACTGCGAGGGTGAATATTGTTCTGCACTTGAGTTTGGATCGTGTAAATGTATTTCTGCGTGTCTGCTGTGTTGGCATACAGTTCGCATCTCCCTGAGGCTGCACTCTCAGGAGTGTGGAAAACCTGGCTTGTGAGCCAAGTGTTGCAGAGACTGCATCTCACACAGAGTGGGGGTAAAGAACAGGAGTGCTGTAGAATCCAGCTGCCCTGCCACAGGCCCAGAGGACTTGGCCAAGTGAACATTGCTGTTTCCCCAACTGTAAAGGGGGCCCAGACCCTTGCAGGATTGTGGCAAACGCCTAACATCCCACCAGGCACCGGGCAGTTGCTCAGTATTTGGCAGGAGCTGCTGTTCCCCACAGTGTCCAACACCGCCCTGGGGATGTAACAGGTGCGCCGTGGACAAGACTGATGGGTTAATTAATCAGTTCACTGTGGAGAGGGGCAGGAGGGATGCTCTTGCGTGTTCCTCCGGTTTTCCCTTATGGGGAGCAGTGACACTTGGCAGAGCTGCCAGGGAGATGGGAAATGGACATTAATTAGGGGAGAGAAAAGAGGCAAGGAGGGGAGGGTGGGAAAGAGACGGGAGGAAGAAGGGAAGGAGGCGTGGTTAGAAGACTGGCAAACATGGGCCGGGCATGGTGGCTCACGCCTGTAATCCCAGCACTTTGGGAGGCCGAGGGGGGCGGATTACCTCAGGTCAGAAGTTCGAGACCAGCCTGACCAACATGGAGAAACCTCATCTCTAAAAAAAAAAAAAAAAAAAAGACTGGTAAACACAAAAACCAGTGACTGTTTTCTTAGAGCTGGGAACAGGAAGGTAGGGCCATGAACAGCATGTGGACACTTCTCAGTGAATGACAGCAGTTCACCGCTGGAAAGGCAGCCTGGAGATCACAGACCCCTTCACAGCCCAGCGAAGTGCAGGGCCTGGGAAAGCAAGTTAGAGATGGGGAGGACCGTGCCTGCCACAGGCACTGCCTGCCAAACCCTGCCATGGGTGGAGGGGCTGTGCTCCCACCCCAAAGAGGCCCCTTCTTCCCTTTCTCTCCCCAAGGCTGCCCCAGCGGTGCGTTTAGCTCCATGGACACCTTTGAAGGCTGTGAAGGTGCAGAAGGCATGGAAAAGGAGAGCAGCGCTCTGAGTGTAATTTACCTCCTTCTTGTTTCTTTCATCTCCTCCCTCCTTCCTATTCATCAGCTCCTCCTGCCTCCTGTCCCTCACCTCCATCCCACTCCCGATCCTCAGGATTCTCGCCCAGAAGGGCCCTGCAAAGCCAGGGAGCCGCGGTCACTAGACCCTCAAAGTGGCCCTGACCCTCCGGGCCCTGCCTCCTTGGCGGTGCGCTGGTGTGCGGCCATCACTGGGGCTCCTGCTGGGAACCCCGTGGTCCAGGTGGGAGGGCTGGGCTGGGCGCACCCTGCCAGCGGGAGTCACCACCTTGCCCGGCCTGGCCAGAGCCTCCAGCAATAACTCTGCGGGTGCACCCGCCCCTCCCTTCCAGCTCGCCGGCCTTTTCCAGTCGGACGGGAGGCAAGAAACCTGTTCCCCCAAATCCGCTTTCCTGGAGAGGGGAGAAAGCAGCCGGGGAGAAACAAGAGCGCGGTGCGGAGAAGCGTGAGTGTGAGCAAGGAAGGCTGAGCGCCTCCGCGGGCCACGGCGTCTCGGACTTTCTTCTGGGAATTGCAGGGCGGCCGGCAGCTCCGAGGAGGAGCGCGCTGGGGCGTCCACGGGCCGGCTGGCGCCTGCGGGGGCGGCGCCCAGGACCCCCGCCCGGGAGAGGAACGCCCGGAGCCGCCTCCCGAGAGCCCGAGGGGTGCCCTGGGTGCGCGCCCAGCTCCGCGCGGGGGACCTCGGGCTGCTCTGCGGCCCCTGCAGCGCCCACCGCCCTTCTCAGCCTTGCGCTTTAACCCCGGGGCCGGGCAGTTCTCGGCTGTGGGGGCCTCTCTGCGCCCCAACTGGAGGATGTTTAGCAGCGTCCCCGGCCTCTACCCAGCAGGTGCCGGGAATGCGCCACCCCGTCCTCCACCGCACCCCCAAAATGTGGCACTCAAGAATGCCTTCAGACGCGCCCCATTTCTCGGGGGCGGGTGGGGCTTGGCTGAGAACCGCTTAGCCCGAGCCCTGGGGCGGCCGGAGCCGCTGAGTCCCCGCGTGGGCCGCGCCTGGGCGCTCCCGGCCCCTCCCGGAGTCCCCGCCAGTGTTCACGGGCTGTTCGTGTTCGTTCCGAGACTGCTTCGTTACTTTCTGAGCTACTTATGTATCAATTTATTCGTTTCTAAACGAGTTTTATTTTCTGTTGGATTTTGGTTTTGGTTTTCTTAGTTAATTTTCATTTACTTGTAGCTTTCTGGTTATTTAATTGTATAGTTTCCATTACTCGTTTATAGTTACTTTATTTTCAAAGTTATTCAGTTTTTGAGTTGTTCGTTTTCAGTTATTTGTGTGTAGTTATTTTGTTTTACGAGTTACAGATGTTCAAATTAATTTGCTTGGAATTTATTTATATTTATCTTTACAATTGTTATCCGAGTTATTTACCTTCACGGTTATTTCCCTTTAACTTACTGGAGTTTCTGAGGTGTTTATTTTTACATTAACTTATTTGACTATTAAAAACTCATTGGAAGTTTAAGAACTACTGTAGTTATTTATTTTCAGAGTGAACTGTTTTAATTAAGGGTTTTCCCCCTAGTTACCTGGTTTAGAGTTGCTTATGTTCACAGGTATTTCTTTTCAGTTATTTTATATTCGAGTTATTTTTATTATTTTTTTAAGTTATTTGGTTTATAGTTATTTTAGCATTACTTCATATTTGAACATTATATTTTCTTAATTCTTAAAGTATTTTTTAGATATTTAGTTTTTGAGTTATTTTCAGTTATTATCAGTTATTTATTTATTTATTTATTTACTTACTTCTTTTTTGAGACGGAGTTTCGCTCTTGTTACCCAGGCTGGAGTGCAATGGCGCGATCTCGGCTCACGGCAACCTCCGCCTCCTGGGTTCAGGCAATTCTCCTGCCTCAGCCTCCTGAGTAGTTGGGACTACAGGCGCGTGCCACCATGCCCAGCTAATTTTTGTATATTTTTAGTAGAGATGGGGTTTCACCATGTTGACCAGGATGGTCTCAATCTCTTGACCTCGTGATCCACACGCCTTGGCCTCCCAAAGTGCTGGGATTACAGGTGTGAGCCACCGTGCCCGGCTCAGTCATTTATTTTCAATTTTGTATTTGCCATTAAAATATTTTTTCTGTTCTTTATTTTTATCTATTTCATTTTCAGATTTTTTTTTTTTTTTTTTTTTTTTTTTTTTTTTTTTTTTTTTTTTTTTAGAGACAGGGCCTGGCTTTGTCACCCAGGCTAGAGTGCAGTGGCATGATCACAGCTCATGTCAGTCTCAACCTCCCAGGCTCAAGCAGTCCTCCTACTTCAGTCTCCCAACTAGCTGGGACTACAGGCATGTGCCACCATGCCCAGCTAATTTTTAAAAAGTTTTAATAGTGACAGGGTCTCCCTGTGTTGCCCAGGCTGGACCTGTACTTCTGGCCTCAGTCATACCTACATAATAGAGCCTCCATTAAAACCCAAGAGGACAAGTTCAGGGAGCTTCTGGGTTGCCAAGCATGTGGAGGTACCGGGAAGGTGACCATCCCAGGGAGGGCATGGAAGCTCCTTGCCACTTCCCTTTTACCTTGTCCTATCTCTTCCACCTGGCTGTTCATCTGTATTTTTTTTTTTTTTTTGTATTATCCTCATGATAAACCAGTAAATGTAAGTGAATGTTTCCCTGAGTTCTTAAGCCTTCCTAGCAAATTACTAGAACCCAAGGAGAGCATAGTGGGAATCCCAATTTATAGCCAGTCAGTCAGAAGTATAGGTGACAACCTGCTACTTTCAATCGGTGTCTGAAGTGACAGGCAGTCTTGTGGGGTATAGCCCTTAACTTGTGGGATCAAACTCTAACTCCAGGTAGTGTCAGAACTGAATTGAATTCTAGGATACCCAAATGGTGTTCACTGTAGAACTGGTTGGTAGTGGAAAGAAATCTTGCACATTTTGGTGACCAGAAGGGATGTATTTTGTATTGAGTCTTGAGGAAGAGTGTGAGACACAGTTTTCTTCCTGTCTCATACCCCTAGCAAAGCTCACTCAGGGAGAAATAGATAACCTCACTAGCCCTATATCTATTAAATCAAGTGAATTTATACTTGAAATCTCACAAAGAAAACCCCAGACCTACATATTTTCACAAAGGAATTTTACCAAACATTAAGGAAGTAATACAAATTCTGGCAAATCCCTCTAAAAAAGTTGAAGAGGAAGAAATACTTTCCAATTAATTCCTGAGGTCAGTATTACTTCCAGATGAAGGTGTTAAAAAAAAGGAGCATGACAGATCAATGTCAGTCACAAGCATATGTACAAAAATTCATAACAAATTTTACAAAGACAACCCAGCAGTATATAAAAATGACACTAAATCATGAATGAATGGTATTTCCCAGAAATGGAAGTTGATTTCATCTTTAAAAATTAATACAATTCACAGTATTAACAGATCAAAATGAAAAACCATATAATCATCCCAATATATACAGAAAAAAATAAAACACAATCCCACATACATTTCTTGAAAAATTCTCAGAAATGTAGGAATAGGAGGAACATTATCAACCTGATAAACAGCATCTATGAAGCATCTAATGCTAACATCACACTTAATAGTCAAAGTATGCTTTCCTCCTCAAATCAGGAACAAAACACAAATTTCTAATCTAATGGCTGGCATTTCACAATGTCCTGGAGGTTCAAGTCTCAACAAAAGGCTCTTCAATAAGAAAATATATTAAAACATCCAAATTGTTAAGTTAAAACTCTATGTTGGGCGCAGTGGCTCATGTCTGTAATTCCAGCACTTTGGGAGGCCGAGGCGGGAGGATCACCAGAGGTTGGAAGTTCGAGACCAGCCTGACCAATATGGAGAAACCCTGTCTCTACTAAAAATACAAAATTAGCTAGGCATGGTGGCACATGCCTGTAATCCCAGCTACTTGGGAGGCTGAGGCAGGAGAATCGCTTGAACCCAGGAGGCAGAGGTTGCAGTGAGCTGAGTTTGCACCATTGCACTCCAGCCTGGGTAACAAGAGCAAAACTCCGTCTCAAAAAAAAAAAAAAAAAAAACTGTCTTTATTCATAGATATGATAGACTATATAGAAAACTCAATGGAGTTTACCAAGAAAAATTACTAGAACTAAACAGTGAGTTTAGCAAGATTGCAGGATATGAGATTAGCATACAAAAATAAATGGTATTTATACATGTACAGTCATGCACCACATAACCGTATTTCAGTCAATGACTGACCATATGTGTAATGGTGGTCTGATATGATTATAATGGGACTGAAAATTTTCTGTCAGCCACTGATGTGGCCGTCATAATGTCGAAGTGGAAGGCATCACCATGAGCTTGTGGTGCGAAACGACGATTATAGTGCCAGTCGTATAAAAGCATAGCACACAGTTACGTACAACGCGTAGCACACACAGTTACGTACAATGCGTAGCACATACAGTTACGTACAATGCGTAGCACATAAACAGTTACGTACAATGCGTAGCACACACAGTTACGTACAATGCGTAGCACATACAGTTACGTACAATGCGTAGCACATACAGTTACGTACAATGCATGATAGACAACTATGTTACTGGTGTATATATTTACTATATTGTGTTTTGTCATTACTTTGAGTTTATTCCTCCGACTTAAAAAAAAATTAAAACACTCTCAGGAAGGTCCTTCAGGAGAGAAGAAGGCATTTTTATCACAGGAGACGACCACTCTATGGGTGTTATTGCCCTGAAGACCTTCCAGTGGGACAAGATGTACAGATGGAAGACAGAGAATTGATGATCCTGATGCCCTGTAGGCTTAGACGTGTGTGTGTGTGTGTGTGTGTGTGTGTGTGTGTCTCTGTTTTTAACAGCAACAAAAAAAAGTTTTGAAAGTTTTAAAAAATCGTTAAAATAGAAAAAAACTTACAGAATATAGAGAAAATATTTTTATACAGCCATACAATGTGTTTGTCTTTTAAGCTATGTTGTTATAAAATTTGCTGAGCACAGTGGCTCACGCCTGTAATCCCAGTACTTTGGGAGACTGAGGCAGGCGAATCACGAGGAGAGGAGATCGAGACCACCTTGGCTAACACAGTAAAACCTTGTCTCTACCTAAAATACAAAAAAATTAGCCGGGCATGGTGGCACACACCTGTAGTCCCAGCTACTCGGGAGGCTGAGGCAGGAGAACGGCTTGAACCTGGGGGGCAGAGGTTGCAGTGAGTCGAGATCACGCCACTACACTCCAGCCTGGACGACAACGAACAAAACTCTGTCTCAAAAAAAATTTTTAAAATAGCATCAAAAACGTGAAATACTTAGGGCAAAACTCAAAAGAATAGTTAAGAAATCTGGAAAAAAATACAGAAGACCTAAATAAAGGGAGAGATATACCATATTTTTCACTAGAAGACTCAATATTGTTGCGATGTCAAATCTTCTTGAATTTACATATAGATCTAATGCAATCTTCATAAAAATCTCAGTTGGATTTTTGGTAGAAATTGGCAAAATGATTCTAAAATTAATGTGGAAATGCAGAGAAGTTAGAATAGCCAAAACAATGCTGAAGAAGAACAAGATTGGAGAGCCAACCACCATGAAGTCATCTCCTTTGAATGTCCCATTCCTCATCTAGGGTGGCTCTGAGCAGCAAACAGTCCATCAATCACTCTCTCCATATTGTTGTATATTAATAAATGTCTCTCAACGAGGCAGTAAGCAACTTAAAAGCATATTATATTCTAGTCACGAACACCTGTTCAGTAGTAGTAAGGCATAGTGCTTAAAATCCTGGACTCTTAAGGCAGACAGGATTCATGGCCCCATTTCTGTATTTATTATCTAACTGACCCTGGGCAACTCCCTTCTCTGTGGTTAGTTTCTCCATCTGCAACATGGGGCAGCAGTAATAACAACAGTGTCCGCGTAGAGCGCCTATGGCGGACGCTTAAACGAAATAAGAGTGCCTGGCACACAGTATATATCTACTTAATTATTGTCTTTTGAATAAACTGACTCAAAGATCAGAAAGCGGATGGTTACTGAAATTAGGTTGATTGGCACAGGTTAACCTTCACCTTTCACTATAAAAATTCCATTCTGAAACACACTACAAGCTTTGGTTGAGATTACTTGATTAGAGTGTTTGGAGCAATGCAGTAAGATAAAATAGTTGTAGTCAAAGTTATTTTTCAGGAAATGATTTGAGACTTTTCAGGAAATGGTTGAGGCTGAAAGCCCTCAATCTAGTGTTAAGGAGCATCTCCTAATATACTGCCTAAATGTGTATTCCCCACTGGGATTCAAGCCCGGACAGATAGTCCAATAAGACATTAAAAGGTTGCCTGTCAACGATATTGAGCCTTGGGCCGTGGCTCACGCCTGTAATCCCAATGACTGGCTAACTCGGGAGGATCGTTTGAGGCCAGGAACTCGAGACCAGCCTGGGCAACACAGCAAGACGACCTCTCTACATAAAATAGCTGGGCATGGTGGCACCCACTACCCCGGTCCCAGCTACTCCGGAGGCTGACGTGGGAGAATTGCTTGAGGCCAGGAGGTTGAAGTTGCAGGGAGCCGAGATCAAGCCACTGCACTCCAACGTGGGTGATAGAGCGAGACCCTGACTCAAAAATTAATTAATTAAATAAAGATATTGAGTGTTTCCTGTTCCCGGAATTTCTGGTTTGTAAAACCACCTGGGGCCGGGCACAGTGGCTCACGCCTGTAATCCCAGCTCCTTGGGAGGCTGCGGCGGGCGGGTCACCTGAGGTCAGGAGTTTGAGACCAGCCTGGCCAACATGTTGAAATCCCGTCTCTACTTAAATAAATAAATTAGCTGGGCGTGGTGGCAGGTGCCTGTAGTCCCAGCCACTCGGGAGGCTGAGGCAGAAGAATCGCTTGAACCTAGGAGGTGGAGAGATGGCGCCATTGCACTCCAGCCTGGGAGACAGAGGGAGACCTTGTCTCAAAACACACACACACACACACACACACACACACACACACACACACACACACACACCCCACCCCACCCCGGGAGTGGGTATTATTATGGCAGAAGAAACCAAGGCTCTGTGAGGTTCCCGAGGGGGAGTCGGCGCGCGGTGGGGGCGGGGGCGGCCAGACCTCGCGCGTCTGGGCTGTGCTCCTGCGGTCCCAGCGCGGCCTGGGCGTGGAGCGCGGCAGCCGCAGACCCCCGGGAAGACAGGGATTCAGGGTCCTCAGGGGTTTTTAGGCTCCTGCTCGCCTAGTGACCGAGGGGCTGGCCTTCTCCAGGCCGAGAAGTGTCTCCGGGTTCCCAGAAAGGTACCTGAGCGGTTAGAAAAGAGGACGCCCAGCCGGGCGCGGTGGCTCACGCCTGTAATCCCAGCACTTTGGGAGGCCGCGGCGGGCCAATCACGAGGTCAGCAGATCGAGACCAGCCTGACCAACTTGGAGAAACCCCGTCTATACTAAAAATACGAAATTAGCTGGGCATGGTGGCAGGTACCTGTAGTCCCAGCTACTCAGGAGGCTGAGGCAGGAGAATCGCTTGAACCCAGGAGGCGGAGGTTGCAATGAGCTGAGATCGCACCACTGCACTCCAGCCTGGGTTACAGAGAGAGACTCCATCACAACCCGAAAAGGAAAGGGGAAGGGGAAGCGGAAGCGGAAGGGAAATGGGAAGGGGAAGGAGAAGCGGAGAGGGAAGGAGTAGAAGGGGAAGGGGAAGAAGGGGAAGGGGAAGGGGAAGGGGAAAGGGAAGCGGAAGGGGGAGCGGAAGGGAGACCAGGGGGATGAGCGCAAGAGGCCGGCGCTGCCCGGGCCCCGCGCGTGAAGGAAACGTCCCCGCGGCCCGGCCGGTCCCGCCCCGAGAGGAAGGAGGGCGCCTGCGCTCCCGCGGGGGCCGGCGGACTTTCCTCCCCGCCCAGCGGCCCGGGGCGGGCTTTTCGGCTGCTCCTCATAAGCAGGCGGCTTCGGGTCTCCGGGACAGGCGGGTGCGCAGCGCAGCCGCGTCGTCCTGGGCGTTCGGGGCCTGCCCGGACCTCGCCGCGCGCCGCAGAGCCTGCCCCTCGCCCGCGATGTCCCGGCAGCTCCGCGCGGCGGCCGCGCTCTTGGCGTCCCTGGCGGGTGAGTGGCGCGGGGCTTCCCGCGGTGGCCCTGCCGGGTGGGTCCCCTTCATCTAAAGCGCCCTGGAGCCCCGGCGCTGCAGGGCGGCCCGCGGGTGGGGACACGGGGCGCGGCTCAGGGCGTCCCGGCTGGACCCTGTTTTCCGTGAGTTACTCAGAGCAGGTGTCAACCCCAAAGACAGTGACATTGTCCCTGGCTCCCAACAGGGCTCTGGGCGCCTCCTCAGGGACTGGATTTAAGAGATGGAGACCTGAGCCAGGGCTTAGGAATGGGGGTCTTGGCTTTGGTGCCCGGGAAAAGCGGTCCTGACCTGCCTTCCTCTGCATCAGATGGGGTCTGACAGATTGTGGCATTTCAGAAAGGTGTAGGACAGAGTCTCAAAGACTTTTAAAAAATTTATTTTTATTATTTTATTACCATTATTTTGAGACAGCCTCACTCTGTTGCCCAGGCTGGAGTGCAATGGTGTGGTCTCAGCTCACTGCAACCTCTGCCTCCTGGGTTCAAGCAGTTCTCCTGCCTCAGCCTCCCAAGCAGCTGTCGGGACCACAGGTGTGCCCCACCACACCTGGCTTTTTTTTTTTTTTTTTTTTTTTTTTTTTTTTTTTTTTTTTTTTTTTTGTATTTTTAGTAGAGTCAGGGATTCACCGTGTTGGATAGGCTGGTCTCGAACCCTTGACCTCAGGTGATCCACCTGCTTTGGCCTCCCATAGTGCTGGGATTACAGTGCCATTTTGCCCAGCTTTTTTTTTTTTTTTTTTTTTTTTTTTTTTGATGATCATCGTATTTCCCATCCCAGATGCTGTCTGGGACGCTGAGTTTTTGATTCTTTTATGTCCCCACGCTCCGCTTTCACCAGAGCTTGTCCCCTGAGACGTTGAGCCCTCCTGGGTGCTGTGGTTCTGTTCCTGTGAGGAGGTTTACTGGTCATGAGAGAGCTGCCTCTGTCCGCATGGCCCAGCTAACTGGCTCAAGCAGGGTGTGCGGTGACCCTTGCTTGTAACATGAATGCCAGGGATGTTACGGAAGCGCTGGGAAGGGTCATGCCAGCTGTCCTCACTGAGGCAGTTCTCCCTGTGCCACGCTTTCAGACTTACAGTTTCAGGTTCTCTTAGGAAACAGAAGAGGAAGGCATCATTACGCTTCACAGGGCAAGCTATTAATCAAGCAGAAAATCTCAGCCTAGCAGTAACCCACAGTGACCTGTCTGTGAGCGCTGGTTGAATGGATGGATAGGTTCAGAAACTGAATTACATAAACAGGCCGGGTGCGGTGGCTCAGCCTGCAATCCCAGCACTTTGGGAGGCCGAGGCGGGTGGATCACTTGAGGTCAGGAGTTCAAGACCAGCCTCACCAAAACGGTGAAACCATGTCTCTACTAAAAATACAAAAATCAGTTGGGTATGGTGGTGTACGCCTATAATTCCCGGCTACTTGGGAGGCTGAGGCAGGAGAATTGCTTGAACCCGGGAGGTGGAGGTTGCAGTGAGCTGAGATTGTGCCAATGCACCCCAACCTGGGTGACAGAGTGAGACTCTGCCTCAAAAAATAAATAAATAAATAAATAACAATACAAACACAGTGAGTACTGACAAATGCAAGGGCAAGTGGAGGGACAGTGCCCACATCACCTGTTCCTTTCTGAGCTACAAGTTCTCAGAGGTGAGCTCGGTGAAGAGGTCATGAGACATTTCTTCCTCAGAGGTGTGCTAGGTCCCAAGGCAGGTCTGTGTTGCATGGCCATCGTGGGGTCGCACAGAACTGGATTCAAACCCTCGCCCTGACCCTTACTGGCAGGGAGGTCTTGTTCATATCACCCCAGCTTTCAGGTGCTCAGTTCTCTCACTAAAAAATGGGGAGAATAACATCCTCTGCCAGGAGTACGCGGGATACAGATGAGGTGGTGCCTGGAAAAAAGCAACTCCTGCGGTGACTTTCTCAGCGATGTCAACCCGCTTCACCTGTGCGTCTCTCCAGTCCCTCTCCCCGTTCACCTCTCAGCCTCCTGCCCGTGAGTCCCTTCTTCACTCAGTACAGGCTGGCCACCAGCACACAGTAATAACAATGATGACCATGGCACTTCCTAGGTGCCAGGCTCTGCTCTCAGAGCACAAAACAGCTTTGTAAGTTCTGCTAGCATCTCCATTTGACTTGTGAGGAAACAGAAGCACAAAGACGTTAAATAACTTGCCCATGGTCACATAGCTAGCTAGTGACAGAGTCGAGCTTCGAACCAGAGTCTGTGCCCACAGCAACTAACCTGTGTGCTTTATTCATACATGTACTTACCTATAACGTATTCGGCCTCATAAGAAGTAGACGCTATCCTTATCCCCATTTTACAGATGAGGGTACTGAGGCAGAGGTTAGGGAATTGTTCATGGTCTCCCAGTTAGTGAGTAGCATTTCTTGATCGGCATTCAAGACGTCTGGCTTTGGCTGGGTGCAGTGGCTCATGCCTGTAATCTCAGCACTTTCGGACTCTGAGGCGGAAGGTCGCTGGAAGCCAGGAGTTAGAGACCAGCCTGGACAGCACAGTAGACTGTCTCAAGCAAAACAAAACAAAAACCAGGTCTGGCCTTGGGGCTCAGGCTCTATGCTACTGCGCCACGGGGCCCTGCATGCGCAGGCTCCAGAAATACTTGTTAAATTGGAAATGAACAAAAATCATCAGAAAGTTGTTGTTTTTTTCTTTGAGATGGAGTTTCACTCTTCTTGCCCAGGCTGGAGTGCAGTGGCACGATCTCGGCTCACCGCAACCTCCGCCTCCCGGGCTCAAGCGATTCTCCTGCCTCAGCCTCCTGAGTAGCTGGGATTACAGACACCCACCACCAAGCCCAGCTAATTTTGTATTTTTAGTAGAGATGGGGTTTCTCCATGTTGGTCAGGCTGGTCTCGAACTCCCGACCTCAGGTGATCCACCCCCCCTTGGCCTCCCAAAGGGCTGGGATTACAGGCATGAGCCACCACGCCCGGCCAAATCCTCAGAAAGTTTTGCTAGGAGAGACAGAGCTTTTGGGTAAACTCTCTGAGTAATCTTTATCCAGTTAACTTGCTTCCCTGATCTCAAATTTTTCCCCCAGAAAATGAGGGGATTTAAGTTCATATCAGTTAAGTGTAGGTTCGGTTACACGTAAGAGACAAGCCCAGAATAACAGTAGATTAAACAAGATAGTCGCTTGTTACGCTCTCACATGAAAACATGTCCAGAGAAATTCAGGTCAGCTCTAGTGTGGGGTGCTCCACTGGGGACCCGCCAGCCTATATGTGAGTGTAGTGTGCTTCACTGGGGACCCGCCATCCTATATGTGAGTGTGGGGGTGCTCCACTGGGGACCCGTTATCCTATATGTGAGTGTGGGGTGCTCCACTGGGGACCCGTCATCCTATATGTGAGTGTGGGGTGCTCCACTGGGGACCTGCTATCCTATATGTGAGTGTGGGGGTGCTCCACTGGGACCCGCCATCCTGTATGTGAGTGTGGGGGTGCTCCACTGGGGACCCGTCATCCTATATATGAGTGTGGGGTGCTCCACTGGGGACCTGCCATCCTATATGTGAGTGTGGGGGTGCTCCACTGGGACCCGCCATCCTGTATGTGACTTCTACCCTCAAGGACTCCTCATGGTTCCACATGTCTGCTGAAGCTCCAGCCGTCACATACAAGTTGTAGACTGGCCAAAGGAGGGAAAACAGAAGGGTTGTAGAAGGCAGGCCACACAGGCGCTTGAGCTGCCTTCACCCGGCCTTCCCAGAAGGCCCACAGGGGCTTATCACTTCTGTTGCTTTTGCTAAAGCCGTCACCTGCTCCCACCCAGCCAGAAAGGAAGCTTAGACATAGAGCTCTTTATTCCAGGCAACAAGCAAGTGCTCAGCAGAAGCTTCGGGTTCTGTTAGAAAGACAGGGAGGCTGAATTTGGGAAGAGTCGGCCGGCAGTCTGTCTCGGGCTAGAACCCTTTCTGCTCGTGGGTTTCCTCAGCTGTCTCTGCTGCACCCTGCTGGGGCCGCTTCTGCTGCCCCCACAGGGGCCAGAAAAGGTGCTGGAGGCTAAACTGTGATTTCCTGAACCTGGACGTGGCCGTGGGCTCCGCAGAGCTCTGCAGACAGAGTGTAGTCTCCGAGGCCTACCAGGCCTGCTCCCTGCTGACCTCCCCTCCTCACCCCTCCTTCCCCATACTGTCTCTGTGTTCCCATGATGCTGACCCCCTTGCAGCTCTTCAGACATGCAAGTCTCCTGAATCCTCCTCGCCTTTACCCACCATCCTCCTCCTGTCTGGAAGCCATCTCCTCTCTTGTCTACCTGAAGAATTTATCCCTGTGTTGGATTCCCACCCTATCCACACTCTCATAGTACCTGGGGGTTTGATAAGGACACTTGTCAGTCGGGCACTGTGGTCCCTGCCTGTAATCCCAGGAATTACAGGGAGTCTGAGGCAGGCAGATCACTTCAGGCTAGGAGTTTGTCCGGCCTGGGCAACATGGTGAAACTCTGTACAAAAAAATGCAAAGATCAGCTTGGTGTGGTGGCACATGCCTGTAGTCCCAGCTACTAGGGAGGCTGAGGTGGGAGGATCGCTTGAGCCCAGGAAGCTGGGGCTGCAGTGGGCCCTGAGCATGCCACTGCATTCCAGCCTGGGTGACAGTGAGACCTTGTCTCACAGAGAAAAAAAAATAACAAAAACCACTTGTCACACTTCTGAGTGGACCTCACAGGGCTCCTGAGAACAAAGACCTCCCCCCAGTGCCTGGTGTGGGGCCTGCCTGAGAGGGGCCCCTACATATTGTTGAGTGGCGTGGCAACCAACCAAAGGCTGTGCGGGAAGGGACTGGCTGTCAGGAAAATACCTGGGAGAGATCCCTTGTGAGATCACTGACCTTCCCAGGGGACTGGGCAATGACTCATCTCACACCCGCTGGCTGGAGGGGAACCAAAACCTCCCAATGCCTCTTCATGCAAATTTCCATCTAGTGGAGTCCAAGCAATGGTTCAAGGGCCTGGGGTGCTTGTTTGCCGAGTCTCCTGAATTATAGAGAAGAGAGGCGGGGATGGGGTGGGGGGGGGGGGGGGGGGTGGGCAGATGAGTGTGTGTGAACACCAGCGTACGTTCTGCAAATAGACAGAGGGTTGAGACAGAGTCTGAGCTACACCTGCGTTTGCTTCTTTTTTTTTTTTTTTTTTTCCCAGACAGAGTCTCTCTCTGTCACCAGGCTGGAATTCAGTTTAGTGGCGCAATCTCAGCTCACTGCAACCTCCACCTCCTGGGTTCAAGTGATTCTCCTGCCCCAGCCTCCCAAGTAGCTGGGACTACAGGCATGCGCCACCATGCCTGGCTAATTACTGTATTTTTAGTAGAGACAAGGTTTCACCATGTTGGCCAGGATGGTCTCGATCTCTTGACCTCGTGATCCGCCCGCCTCAGCCTCCCAAAGTGCAGGATTACAGGCTCCCCCCACCCTCTTTCTAGGCCTCAGACAGACCTATGACCTTGATTAAATCTCTACAGGGCCAAACATCTCTTAAAAACTGTGACCCAATTTTGACAGAAATGGTCATATGCATACATACAGTGGCTCGCACGGACTTCCTGAGCTACTTTACAATGCAGAGCAGCCCCACCCCAGTCGAATCACCTGCCCGTCTTTTATCCACCACACTCCTGCAGGGAGAGGAGGAGAGGCGGGGAGGGCCAATAGAGGGAAGGAGAAGGGGTGAGAACTGTACTCCTCTGACAGGTTCAGTCTGTAATATCTGTGAACTTGGCACTTGTGGTTGAGCCATCTGCCAGCCCAGCCTTCTGTCTACCACCTAGAGACATACCTACACCTACACACCGTATCCAGACATCTCAACTGCCATCACCTCCAGCCACCCCACCAACACTTCCTACGTAGGAGGCTCACCTTGACCAGGTACCACATGTTTTCTTGACTGGTTTAGGATGCTGGTCACTTGTGAACAACTAAGTGCTTCTTTTATTTATTTGAGTTCACTCATTACCACGAGAGAATAGTCCTAGCTGCATCTTGAGGAAGACTTTTTTTTGTTTTTTTCTTTTTTTTTTTTGAAGACAGGGTTTTACCATGTTGGTCAGGCTGGTCTTGAACCCCCAACCTCAGGTGATCCGCCTGCCTTGGCCTCCAAAGTGCTTGGATTACAGGCGTGAGCCACCACGCCCGACCTGACTTTTTTTTTTCAAAGGGTGCACTACTCAGTTTAGGAAATTGTACTCAGTTGAGAAGATTCTCTATTGCTTATAAATACCAGCCATACACAGTAGGATGTTAGCAGAGATATGATCGCTTCCCTAAGAGAACGACTGGCTAGTGATTTCTAGTCTCCTGGAGTTCTCTGTAGCCATCTTTATTTTTCACCACGAGTTAGTCCTGGCAGACACATTTGAGAGTGAATTCTTTCTCCATAGTAATAGTATGAACCTAAAGAGACCCTTGGTGTTTGACACAAGAACCAGCAATGCAGGTTTTGCCCCAATGAATGGCTCAAATAAATCTTCATCAACGCTCAACCTCCATTATAATCTCGAAGTGAAAAATTTTTCTCCAAGCTCTGTGGCATTTGTATAAAGGTTCTACATGTAGGGATTTCACAAAACTTTGCAAAGTGAGCCTATAGCCCATCAAACCTCCAACTCTCAAGTATCATGCGTTTAACTTGTCCAAATGAATACTTTAGATTCAAGAAGAGACTCTTAAATAATGATCTCAAATAACTTCATGTCGCTAATAACAACTGGTCTTTTTAAAAGCTTTTTAAGGCAACGTGAACAGATGCTTTTGTCTTTCCTATTTTGCAAACCAGCTGTACAGAAGTAATTTGTGGGTTTTACTACTGGGCTTAAAGCTAGACCTCTTCTGGAAAAGAATCCCTGTTTCAGCCCATAAACTTTTGAGATCCTCACCAAGGATCATCATTATGCGGTTTTTGTGAATTGGGGTCACTGCAAGGCACCCTCCTCCTCCTCTCCCCTCCGCTTCTGCGTCTTCTCTCACCATTCTTCCCTGAGACGCTCCACCTCCACCATCCCTCCAAGGACAAGCTTTGACGCAGATGCACAGGTGCCCAAGTCTCAGCCCCAGCTTCGACTAGTTGTGTCATGAAGGTCAAATGGCTGAAATCCTCCAAGCCCCAGTTTCCTCATTTGAAAGATGGATGGAGTGGTACCCACCAAAGGGTTTTTGGGAGAACTTGGTAAAAGGTGACCCGTGGTCTGAGGCCTTCCATGTAGTAAGCGTCCAGTAACTCAGAATTTTTATTGTTATTAATATGAGAAAAGTAACCACTTCAAATGTATTGAATGGAGGAGGGAGATAGAAAAGGCAGGTACGAATTATTTTGACTGGATATGAACTTTGGGACTTTGTAAATACCATCATGGCGTGATCTCCTTTCCCTTACTCTGTGTTTTCCCAAGTCACAGCCCAGCATAGGACAGCTCCAGCTCTCTTGAGTGTCTGTGGGTAAACACAGAGAAACCACAAAATTGAAGGGACACAGCCATCTCTCAGCGTGCCTGAACATAGACTCCTAAAGACATCATCTGTTTTCGTTGTTGTTGTTTTGAGATGGAGTTTTGCTCTTGTTGGCCAGGCTGGAATACAATGGCACAATCTCAGCTCACTGCAACCTCTGCCTCCTGGGTTCAAGCCATTCTCCTTCCTCAGCCTCCTGAGTAGCTGGAATTATAGGTGCACATCACCAAGCCTAGCTAATTTTAATATTTTTAGTACAGATGGGGTTTCACCATGTCAGCCAGGCTGTTCTCGAACTCCTGACCTCAGGTGATCGGCCCCTTGGCTTCCCAGAGTGCTGGGATGTGAGCCACCGTGCCCAGCCCATCATCTATGTTTTGTTCACTTTTCTGGATCCATATGTGCCTGGAAGGAGGCAAGGATAGACCTATTCTAGTTGGAAAAGAACCAGAGGCCTTCTGCCCTTATGGACAGGCTCTGGAGAGAATCTGTGACAGCAGTAGACGCTGTCTGTGGGCTTAATGGTCCATGAAGAGTTTTACTTAAATCAACTCATTTGAGCCTTACAATAATCCTAAAAGGCCTACAATTAGCACATTCAGTCATTTATTTGTTCGACCCATATTTACTGAACTCTGTCTCTGCAAGGCACTGGTGGTGAAAACGGCACACACAGCTCTCACCTTCAGGGTACTCTGAAGCTACGAGGAAAGATCCACGACCAACGAATAAACCAAGAAGCAAACATTTCATCAGGGAAAATATTCGGCTGGTACATGCCGGCCAGGCTGATTGTGAAATGTCTGAATGCCACCCCCATGTCTAATTACAAGTTGTAATTAACGCGGCTGCAGTGCAGAATCACAGATGTGACGACCTATTTTTTATGAGGAGGACAAGATGCCCTGAGGAGCCGCCATGGAAGCCAGAACACAAAGGGCAGCTTTCTGAAGTATCAGAGCAGCCATGCCTTTGCTTTCTTGGTTGAGAAAGACTGGGCCACTCCAAAAGTTAAGTAAGAAAATGACAGGAATTGGTCTATATTGAGAAAACAACAGGTGACAAGATTTTTTTAAAAAATGGAAAGGACTATATTGTGAAGAGATGAGTCCCCTGTCATTGGGAGCATTTAAGGCTCCATTGGATGAACACATGGCAAAGATCTGTAGGGATAATTCAGACATCAGATTAGGGTTCGGGGCGGGCGCCGTGGCTCACACCTGTAATCCCAGCACTTTGGGAGACCGAGGCAGGCAGATCACAAGATCAGGAGTTTGCGATCAGCCTGGACAACATGGTGAAACCTGTCTCTACTGAAAATACAAAAATTAGCTGGGCATGGTGGCGCACACCTGTAATCCCAGCTACTCACGAGGCTGAAGCAGGAGAATCGCTTGACCCTGGGAGGCAGAGGTTGCAGTGAGCTGAGATCGCACCACTGCACTCCAGCCTGGGTGACAAAGCAAGACTCTGTTTCAGAAAAAGAAAAATAAAAAGATCAGGGTTTGGACTAGAGGAGTTTTAAGACCCTTTTCAAACCTGGGATTATATGATTCTATGAAAACCGTGTAACTCTGTAAAGCTTTATTGCCATTATTCATGCTGCCCAGCTCTATCAGGTCACACAGCAGCTGTTTACCCAGGAATGTATTTTATGTCAGCTGTCTGGACTCACAGTTGAAGGAGGAGGATGAAGAGGCATTGACACTTAGATATCTAGCTGAGCACGATCGCTTTGGTGTGTATTCGTACCACACCCCACACAGGCAAAGGGGCTGGGTGCGGAATAACGTCCATGGGACGGCCATCACCCTGTAGAAGACGTGGGTACAACCAGAACATGGCCACCGCGGCCTGGGGCAGACGCTCTGGTGATGTTTGCTTCATTCTTACACCCTCGTAAACTTCGCCCAACTATTAAAATATGTGGTTAGGGTTTTTTTATGAACAAATATTAAGATGGGGATGGGAGAGGGACCTTGTAAGCAACTGGGTTGGTGTTTTTAACACTTTTGTCTCCTGATTTTCAGTAATTTTGCAGGATGGCAGTCAAATGAGAGCAAAGGCGTTTCCGGAAACCAGAGATTATTCTCAGCCCACTACAGCAGCAACAGTACAGGACACAGCAAAGCCTGTCCTGCAGCCAGCTAACCAAGCACCTCCCCAAACCTTAGCAGCAAGACTAGTGGACAGTCACATCCCCTCTCAAATAGCGTCCACAATGAAAACCCCAACAACCACCCTGGTAACTGCAGAGAGCACCGTAACCACAAGCCCAATCATCCGCACCCTGGTCACAACCCAGGACACACCCCACAACTCTCACACGGCTGCTCCAGTTACTGAAGCGACGGTCGGCCCCAGCTCAGCCCCTCATTCACAGCCAGCCACCGTCACCCCACCGGCTCATACAACCGGAACCGGTTCATCAGCTGTCAGCCACACAGCTAGGAACCCCACCCAACCCAGTAACCAGACCATCCTTCCAGCAACTTTACCCACGACGCCACACAGAAGCACAGGTGGTCAGAAGCCCGTCCAACCCACCCATGCCCCAGGCACAACTTCGGCCACACAGAATACCACCGGGACAGCCCCGCCTGTCTCCACCGTTCCTGCACCCACCCTCGCCCCTCAGCCAACGTCAGCCAAGACCGGAACTTACCAGGTTCTGAATGGAAGCAGACTCTGTATAAAAGCAGAGATGGGGATACAGCTGATCGTTCAAGACAAGGAGTCGGTAAGTGGGGGCCACAGGGCTGCAACACCATCCCCAGGAAGTCTGAGTGGAGTTTGCCTTGCTAGGAATGAGCGTTCCCCACATCTGTGTCTTTAAATGAAGCAGATCGCTGTGAGCTCATTAAAAGGTACTCCATTAAAAGGTGATTGTGTTTTAGGATATACATGGAGATAGAAACTAATTTTCTATTTTCTGTCTTCTGTTTGGAGAGAGAAAGGCAAACAAAAATGTAAATATTCACACCCCTCACTTTTAGCCAACATGGGCAGAGTGTCCTGCAAGGTTTGGCATTGATCTGAGCCCCTCCCTACCACTCCAGGATTTACAAGCCTCATATCCTTTCCTGTGAAACGAGAGCTTTAAGTCAGATGGTCCCTATGGCTGCAGGCATTAGTATATGACATTAATACGGAAACCCACATTAACAAGAAGACGGAGAGGGAGAGGGGTTGTGATTACTTGATGTACTGAAGGAATCACTGACACAGTATTTTCTTTGTCTGCAAACTTCAATGATTTCAAAGGAAACTTCCACATCCAGGTTGTCATGTGACACAAAGGTGCCTTACAGAGCAAAGCCTTCCCTGTAGCATCATTTACCATGTTTGACTTAACATAAATTCCATGCCGTTTCTCGGGAATATACCTGCCATCAATTCTTACAAAGGAGCTCCTCTTTGTGGGAGAATTCCTCTTTTTTTTTTTGAGACGGAGTCTCGCTCTGTCACCCAGGCTGGAATGCAGTGAGTGGCGTGATCTCGGCTCACTGCAACCTCTGCCTCCTGGGTCCAAGCAATTCTCCTGCCTCAGCCTCCCAAGTAGCTGGGATTACAGGCACCTGCCACCATCCCCGGCTAATTTTTTGTATTTTTAGTAGAGACGGGATTTCACCATCTTGGCCAGGTTGGCCTCGAACTCCTGACCTCAGGTGATCCACCCACCTCAGCCTCCCCAAGTGCTGGGATTACAGGCATGAGCCACCATGCCCAGTGAGTACTCCTCTTTAAGAAAGCTTTCCAACAGAACAGTTTGGAAATGAGAGGTGTTGTCTGGGGACGCTGCAGTTCTCCAGTGAATACTCAGCTGTAAGTTCCAGGCTCATGTACTAGCCTGTGCTTCTGGTTCTCTAACTAGAGTTTTCTTCTACCTCTCACTTAGCTGATCTGTCTTACTTGGTTTAGGTGTTTTCGCCTCGGAGATACTTCAACATCGACCCCAACGCAACCCAAGCCTCTGGGAACTGTGGCACCCGAAAATCCAACCTTCTGTTGAATTTTCAGGGCGGATTTGTGAATTTCACATTTACCAAGGTGAGGCCTGAGTTCCTTTGCACAAACGGCATCGAGCGTAGCTTTCCCTCTCCCTCATCCTGGGGCCCGGGGGTGCAACCTCACACTTCAGTTCGAGGTCTTTGTTGATAAGAGTGAGGCTCTTGGGGATGGAGAGGAGGAAGTGTCAACATCTTGTATTTGCCTTCTTCCCCCTTCAGCTCCTTCCGTGCAGCCCAAGAAGGGTTTCAGGGTCTCTTAGGGGAGACTTGGCCTCTGGGGAACTTAAGCACCCATGCCCTTTGCAAACCAGCCGAAGGAGGAAGTGGTGCAGATGAATAAACCTGCAGAAATTCCCAGAGGACACCAGAAGAACAGGGTTATTCAAAAGCCAAAATCAAATGTCAGAACAGGTTCTTTCCAACCACAGCAGGCAGAATTCAGGGCTGGACCAGGCACCGAGTTTCCCAGACTATACCCTGGAAGGGGCGGACAGTGAAGCAACATGGACGGAGACCGAGGTCAGAGAGTCTCACTGTGGATTTGGCTCTGTCGCTTGCTCTCCTTGTCATATTGCACCGGCAGCTTCACCTGTCTGGGCTTTATTTTAGCATTTGAAAAATGGAGGACAGGACTTCAAGTTCGCCTCTGTAAAGAGCATGCCCCGTACATGGGAAGTGGTGGGTACTCAAGAGGCACAGCTGCAGTTGCAGTGATTGAAACGGGCAAATGTCTTGGAGACCAGAGGGGGCTGGGCTGGTCATCCCACTCCCTAGGGAGAGACTTACCTCTGCTTGCCCCAGAGTGTCCTTCAAATAGCCCCAGCAAGGGCTGGCAGGAGGCACTGAGAGGCCCCTTGCAGCTGGGATCAGCTGCAGGATCTCAGGGGAGCTGCGGCTTGTTTCCCAGTCTGTAAGATGGAAATAATTACATCTACTTAGTAAGGCCTTTGGGAGGATTAGAACGGGGTATGTAAACTTTCTAGCATAGCATATAACAACGTTCATTGAAGGGTGGTGGTTCTGATTGTTGTCATTATTAACTTGGTCTCAAAGGCTTTATTCTCATGGTGCATACTAAGGTAGAATTTGCATTTGAGAAATCAGTGGTTTCTTTCTGGGACCAAGTGAGAAGGACACAATCCTTCATACGTAACCCCTAAGACCAAATGGGGAAGACATTCAGGGTGGAATGAGTGCCCTATCCCTGGGAAATTGAAGTTAAACTACAGAGAGGACAAGAATTTTTTTTTTTTTTTTTTTTTTGAGATGGCGTTTTGCTCTTGTTGCTCAGGCTGGAGTGCAATGGCACAATCTCGGCTCACTGCAAACTCTGCCTCCCGGCTTCAAGCGATTCTCCTGCCTCAGCCTCCCAAGTAGCTGAGATTACAGGCATGAACTACCACACCCGGCTAATTTTATATTTTTAGTAGAAATGGGGTTTCATCATGTTGGTCAGGCTGGTCTTGAACTCCTGACCTCAAGTGATCCGCCCGCCTCGGCCTCCCAAAGTGTTGGGATTACAGGCATGAGCCATTGCACCCAGCCCAAGAATTTCTTTAAAAGTCACTGGGCTGGATACAGTGGTGTGAGAATCACTTGAGGCCAGGAGTTTGAGACCAGCCTGGGAAATATATCAAGACCCTGTCTCTACCAAAGAAAAAAAATAAAATTATAAAATTAGCCAGGCGTGGTAGCACATGCTCATAGCCCTACTCAGGAGGCTGAGGTGGGAGGACTGCTTGAGCCCAGGAGGTCAAGGCTGCAGTGAGCAATGATTGCACTACTGCTCTCCAAAAAAAAAAAAAAAAAAAAAAAAAAAGTCACTTTGGCAAAATAGCAGAGGATACCGACACAGGCATTATGCTTTGGTTCAGGGCTCGGTTCCACCCAGGCCGCTGCCCACTGCCCATGTGACTATGCCTAATGGGAGGCATCCACACACCAGCACACAAGGGCAGCTGCTGCCGGGCCTGAGGCAGACCTGCAAACAGATGTCTTTGACACTTTCAACCTCTCTTTTTGTTACTTTCTTCTGTTTCTTGATGTTGCTGCTTTCTCAGCCAGCACCTCTCCCCAGCGACAGCATTAACATTTGAGGCCAGATAAGTCTTTGCGTGGGGACTGCCTTGTGCCTTGAAAGCTGTTTAGCCTCATTGCTGGTTTCCGTCTACAAGATGCCGGGAGCAACTGCCCACCCCAGTCTGACAACTCCGAATGTCTGCAGACATCGTCAGATGTCTCCTGGAGGGCAAAAATCATCTGTGGTTGAAAACCACGGCTCTAGAGAAAAATAGAACCTTAGAAAATACGAGTTTATTTATGATGATATAATAGATGTGATGAGAGCCAAGTTGTAGAATGATAAATGGATGTTGATCAGACCTGATTTATCAACTCGTTTATTAGTGAGAATTTAACCAACCTTGTCCCTAACAATGAGCTTGGCTGTCAAAGAAAAATAACAAATATAGGCTATGGTTCCAGCTTTCAATTTGTAGTTTTTTGTTTTTGAGATGGGGTTTCGCTCTTGTTGCTGAGGCTGGGGTGCAATGGCATGATCTCAGCTCGCTGCAACCTCTGCCTCCCCGATTCAAGAGATTCTCCTGCCTCAGCTTCCCAAGTAGCTGAGATTACAAGCGAGTGCCACCACGCCCAGCTAATTTTAGTGTTTCTTAGCAGAGACACGGTTTCACCATGTTGGCCAGGCTGGTCTCAAATTCATGACCTCAAGTGATCCACCTACCTCGGCCTCCCAAAGTGCTGGGATTACAGGCATGAGCCACCGGACCTGGCCCAATTTGTAGTTTTTTCAATCGAAATACTACCAATGACAACAACACAAAATCAGTCCCTTGTCCTTGTTGTTCAGTTAAGACAAATTATCCCTAGCATTTGCTTTGTGGCCATGGACAGGCTGCTCGTGATCTCTGAGCCTCAGTCCCTCTTCTATAAGACAGGGCCAATGAGTACTTACTTTGCCGAGCTGTCCTAAGAGTGTGCTGAGCTAAGTGCGTAAAGCTTTGTTCTGGACACAGCAAAAGGAACCTGTGATCTACTTTTTGGCACTCTGACCCAGAGTTCTCTGCAAAATGTAGATTTTCTCTTTCATGGATTCATTTGTTCATCAGACGTTTGCTAAAGATATACTATATACCGAGTCGGGGTGGGCACCAGAGAACGGTGTGAATGAGCCATAGACTTTGCCTTGGGGATGGCAAGATGTGTGGCAAGTGCATTGACGAATGTTGAGGAACAATGAACAAAGGGCACCAGGGAACTAAGAGGAGGAAGTCTCTCATTTTACCCGACGTGGAGGTGGGGAAGGGGGAACTTTACAGGGTGATGATATTTGAGTTATTTTGAGGATGAATGCCAACGGGGCTGAGGGGCGGGAGGGGCCTTCCAGGCAGAGGGAAAAGTACCGGGGAAACAGGGCATGGGAAGCACAGATGACTGGGGGGTTCTAAGTGGTGCGCTCTGAGGGTGTTAACACTTGAACACTGGTCACGGTCCTCAGAAGCCCAGCCCATAGGCCAAGGGGGTTCCAAACGCCCCTCAAAGGCTCTGGAGACCAGTCTGAGCAACAAATGAAAACCCATCTCTGCAAAAAACACAAAAATTAGCTGGGCATGATGGCATGTGCTTGTAGTCCCATCTACTGTGGGAGGATCACTTGAGTCCAGGAGGTCGAGGCTACAGTGAGCTATGATCGTGCCACCACACTTCAGCCTGGGTGATAGAGGCAGGGCCTGGCTCAAAAAAAAGCAAAGCTCTGGGGAAACACCATGTGGGTGTGCAGCATTGATTCCAAGACCTCAGCTGGCCAGTGCCCTGCCCGACCCTGGCACCTCGCCCCTCGTGATGGTTGATTTCCCTATGTCGCGAGCCAGGGCTGGAGACCTAAAGCTGCCAAAGGGGTGGAGGAGAAAGGGGTGGTGCTGAGCACAGGCCACACTTACGGAAGGATGTGTTAAAAGCAACTATCCCACCTGGACGGATGTCCCAGGGAGGTGGGGGGAGACATGAATGTTATCTTGAACTTGAAGGGTCCCAACAGCTTTCAGCATGTCCCCCTCACCAAAGGAGACACTGACAGGGAAATGTTTTCAGTTCTCTAAAAAATGAAACTGAGGCCGGGCGCGGTGGCTCACACCTGTAATCCCAGCACTTTGGGAAGTTGAGGCGGGTGGATCATGAGGTCAGAAGTTCAAGACCAGACTGGCCAACATAGTGAAATCCTGTCTCTACTAAAAATACAAAAATTAGCTGGGCATGGTGGCTCGTGCCTGTAATCCGAGCTACTTGGGAAGCTGAGGTAGGAGAATTGCTTGAACTGGGACCAGGCAGGTGGAGGTTGCAGTGAGCTGAGATCTCGCCACTGCACTCCAGCCTGGGCTACAGAGGGAGACTCCAACTCAAAAAAAAAAAAAAAAAAAAGAAAGAAAGAAAGAAAAGAAAAAAGAAACTAAGGGAAAAAAGAAAGGAAATCCACCTCTCCTGACCCCACTAAGGGCCAAATACCTTTCCTGATTTAGTACAATGTTGAGCAAAAAAGGCGTGATTGATGCTGAAGACAAAATTCACATCCTGAACATCTGGGACTCTGAAACTTCCGTGGTGTGTTTTGCAGAAGTGGATGGGGGGACCTTAGGATCCCACGTCATTGGCATGCTGGCGTCCTGGGCAGGATGAATTGGCTGGTACGAAGGCAGACATGTTGGTGGACCCTCGGTTTTGCTAAGGAGGATGTTAGCTTCCTCGACAGATTAACAAAGGACCACAGAGCCCAAAATATTTACAGAAAAAGTTCACCAAAGACGATTCCATTCCTTTAAGATCATCCTGTAACACGTCAGCTCTATGGAGCAAAGTGGCACAATTGTCTAACTAGGACTCATTCCATAGCATAAGTTACGTAAAACTTGGAATCTTTTTTTTTTCTGGGAAAGAAACATTTAATAGGGACTTGTGAACAGAAGCCCTGTCTGTCCTGAATGGTGGTGAGACAAGGCGGTATACCCTACGCCATGAATGCCAGACGGAAAGGGCGATCCAGAAAGAACGTGTGGGGCAACTGAAGGATGATGATGTCAGGTCAAACCTGGAATCCTGAGAAAACTAAATATCCCCCGCCTTTTTGTTTACACGAATCCGCCTAACAGATACTTTTCCTTTACCCTAAAGATAGACATCATGGCTGGACATAGCAGCTCATACCTCAAGCCTTATTCCTTGTAATCCCAGTACTTGGAGAGGCCAAGCAGAGAGGATCTCTTGAGGCCAGGAGTTCAAGACTAGCCTGGGCATCATAGTGAGACTCCATCTCTATAAAAAACTTTGTTTAAAAATTCGCTGGCTGTGTATGCCTATAGTCCCAGCTGCTTGGGAGGCTCACGCAGGAGGATCACGTGAGCCCGGCAGGTTGAGTCTGCAGTGAGCAGATCTTGCCACTGCACACCAACCTGGGTGACAGAGGGAGACTCCGACTCAAAAAAGAAAAAAGCTAGACATCAGCTTAGTTCTAGTCAGCGTTTGACTAATTTTGACTCAGCCAAAATGGAAAGAAATCTCAGTACAGGCTCCAGACTCCATCCTGCGTGTCAGTAAGACAAACCAGCCGTGACTGTGCACACTCTGCTTGTGGAAGGCCTTGTGGGTAACCCCCCTTATAGGCACCGAGGAATGAGAGCTAAGCAGAGCCCTGGCACAGTTAGGGCTTGAGGAATATCTCACTTCATAGTGTTACTACTCAGCTATTTCCTTTTATATAATCCTTTACATAATCATATATTAGTTTATGGAAATAGGGCTTGAAGACTCCCTTTATATAATCCTCTATATATAATCATATAATAGTTGATAGTATGAGTGCGTAAAGAATATTTCCCTACATATATACCTATAATTATATCTTAGTTCATAATCGGAGGAATGCCTAGAGTGGACACAGTACAGAGCATGAATTAAGGAATAAGCAGCTTATAATCGGAGGAATGCCTAGAGCAGACACAGTGCAGAGCATGATTTAAGGGAAAAACAGTTATACCAGGACAAGGATCCATGGCCCAGGCGGCAGCATTCAGTATCGTAAAGATACCCGCTCTATGGCAGGCTTGGGGCGAGAGCCACTCCTCCTGATAGAGGAGTTGTAGGACCTTGCTCCAGTTCTTGTGGAAGTCTGCCCTCTGACCGGCAATCCACCTTGGTGACTGTGAACTTTATCAGCTCTTGCTACTGTGCTGCTTGAAAAGCATCTTCCAGCCGGGCGTGGTGGCTCACGCCTGTAATCCCAGCACTGTGGGAGGCCGAGGCGGGTGGATCACGAGGTCAAGAGATCCAGACCATCCTGGTCAACACGGTGAAACCCCGTCTCTACTAAAAAAATACAAAAAATTAGCTGGGCATGGTGGCGCGTGCTTGTAATCCCAGCGACTCAGGAGGCTGAGGCAGGAGAATTGCCTGAACCCGGGAGGCAGAGGTTGCGGTGAGCCGAGATCGCGCCATTGCACTCCAGCCTGGGTAACAAGAGCGAAACTCCATCTTAAAAAAAAAAAAAAAAGAAAAGCATCTTCCCATAGAACCCATTGGAAGCTGCCAGAAGGTGGCGGTAACCTTGACAGCTTTGTCACTGCTGTGTGACTTAAGGCATCCTCCCATAAATCTTAGAAGTAGTTTCCCGTAGATAGAAGTATCGCACACTGCACCCTCTTCACTGCGCACAGCCCACCTTCAAGCCTCGGTGACCTAATGGGGGTGGACCCCTTACTGCACACGGCCCTTGCCTTCGTGGGAACGGGGCCCTTGCTGCGCGCTGTCCACCTCCTGGCCTAGGTGACCTAATGGGGTGGACCCTATGTTTTATTGCTCACGACCCTATCACTATCCTTAAAGATCATTTCACTCACTGCCCTGCCCCCTAACCTATACACAGTAAATACTCAGGCTTCTGGACATTCGGGGCCTCACCTCGCCTCGCCTCACCGGCCTCACCTGACTCCAGTTATAGGTGGCGTGGCCCCCCAAGCCCAGCTGCATTTTCTTTGTACTTCTGTGTCCTGTCTCTTTATTTCTCAGATCCTGTGCCTCAGCACAGCGTAAGGCTCACCCCACGACCCTGTGGAGCACTCGGCCATACATCTGGCTCCCAACGTGCCCTACATCACCTCACTGTTGGATTAGCCCCAGAAAGCCGAGATGTCTGTGGGACAGCAGTGGCCCTGCCTGTCAGGGACTGTTCACGGGTGTTCAGCCTGTGCGTTCGCAAGGGCTCATGCTGGTTGTCATGCTTTGCTGCTGCCAGATGAGCTTCGTGATTTTGAACAAGTGGCCTGCACTTTCATTCTGCTCTAAGCCCCAGAAATTCATCCTGTAGCCGGTCCTGCTTCCCATCAGTGGCTGTAGGCTTCAGCTGCATTTCAGGAAATGTGAGAGGAAATTCTCACATAAAGAATTTTTGTTCTATACCCATGCGTCCCGTGGAGGAAGATGTAGGGTAGGCTCTTGCTTTGTCTCACCTACAGACTGTGTGCATCTGAGATAGATGCTTTAACTCTCTGAGTCTCTTTGTTCTAGCTGTAAAATGGTCTGATAATACTGAATCTGTGTCGGGGTTGTTGTAAGGATCAAATGAGCCAATGTCAGTGAAAGCACGCACGTGGCGAATTGTGAAACCCTCACAGAAATGCCAGTCATGTTTTTCCTTCAGTGGGACAGGTCAGGGAGATACCAAAGGGAAGGGAAGATTCCAAGAGGTCTCTGAGGAGTCAGCTGACCTCATCACTGTTCCGGCGCTCCTCAAATCAGTCTCACAGTGTAGCCTGAGCCATTTCCAAAAACAAAGCTGCACTATGTCCCTGCCCTGCTTAAAACGCTTCAATGGGTCCTCCTTGCCCTTAGGGATGGGGAGGGGTTCTTGTAACCCTGACTGTGGACCCTGAAGTATAAGTGTCTCTTCTATTAAAAGAGGCTCCAAATAAAAATTTTAAAATGCCCTTAATAAATGGTATGTAAAAGCAACACAAAGATGGTATCTGAAAGAGGTTTCTCCATAAAGTAAATGGAGGTCCAAGGGCATCGTTCAACTTGCCTTCAAGACCCAAGAGACTGAGCACCTTGAAGGAGGCAAGCAGGTCCTCTCCCAGGACCTAGAGCAATGCCTGGCATGGGGTGGGTATGAAAGAGCTGTTAAAGGCTGGACTCAGAGGCAGGCAGAGCTGGAGGTCCTCTCTTCCCCTGCCACCTTTTAGAGCTATGACCTGGAGCAAGTCACCCAGCCTCATTTTCTCTCATGGTTATGGTGAGATTTAAATAAGGCAAGTGCATGGAAGTGCCTGAGACAGCACCCAACACAGGGTGAGAAGCGGATGTGTGGCAGGTGCAGTTCAAGGAATTGTAGGATCTAGAGCTCAGTGCGTCGGTGTCGGCGACCTTACTACAACAGTTTGTATTTATGGAACCCTTTGATTGTGTAATGAATCAACATTTTATCCACGAATCATACACAAATGAACTCTAATGTGGTCAGGATTAGTATTGTTAAGTTTCTCTAATGACTAGATTTGGAACTTCTAGAAGTAACTCAGTTTCAGGTTCCGATTTGGGTTGCTTTGTCATTTTTGTACCTCTAACTCGTACATAGTTTTCTAATGAATGTTTAAAACACTGTGGATCACCTCAATTAAAAAATAGAAACTCCCTTTTCAGCTTACCCTCCTATACCCCAAATCAGTTCCCTTGAAGGTTTCCTTCCCATTGGTTTTATAGGGCTGTTTTGTAGTTTGTTTTTGTTTTTATGGGAAGATAACTCCTAGATGAAATGTGCGGGCGCTGCTTTGTGTTTTTTGTTTTTGTTTGTTTGTTTGTTTGTTTGTTTGTTTTTTGAGACGGAGTTTCGCTCTTGTTACCCAGGCTGGAGTGCAATGGCGCGATCTCGGCTCACCGCAACCTCCGCCTCCTGGGTTCAGGCAATTCTCCTGCCTCAGCCTCCTGAGTAGCTGGGATTACAGGCACGTGCCACCATGCCCAGCTAATTTTTTGTATTTTTAGTAGAGACGGGGTTTCACCATGTTGACCAGGATGGTCTCTATCTCTTGACCTCGTGATCCACCCGCCTCGGCCTCCCAAAGTGCTGGGATTACAGGCTTGAGCCACCGCGCCCGGCCCTGCTTTGTGTTTAAATACAACCACTTGGGGCTCTCTTCTAGAGAATACCCAGGCTCCTCAGGGTAAGGCATTTCTTCCCATAATCCTTTTCAGTGACCCCATTTAGCCATTTTGAAGATATAGACCCATTAATCTGTTTAAAGCCACGGACACCCTGCATAGGAACAAGCACACACCATTTTGTATACATTATTTTTCCCAGAGGGGTTACGGACCCTGTGAGGTCCACCCATGGTATTCTTAAGGACGTGCCTTCTAAGCCAGGTGGATGGCCTTAAAAATGAAAGGATGAGTGGCCTCAGGATAAGAATTCCTACCCTTGGGTAGTATTGTTAGTAAAAGCTTAATATAGGCTCCTCCTGCTCCTCCACCTTCCCAATCGACTTGCATTTTAACAGGGAGAAGTTTGGCCCAGCTGAAGGGACTCAAATTGTACTGGTGGAATTTGAATATCAGGCCCTAGCAACCAGTATGCAGTAGGGGAATTGGGGGCCAGGGGAAAACTGTTCGTTATTATATATTTATTTTGTGGTATGTTTACTTTTTTGGAATTTTCATAATTTTCAATTATGACCCAGTACCAAGTACCTCCCAAGCCCTTATATCTAGATTTAACAGCTGCAATCCTGAACAAAGTTTGTAAACCAAGACTGTAAACATATGAGTAGAGATTACCCAAAGGTTAACCCCCTGCTGTTTTACAGGATGAAAAATCCTATTATATCAGTGAAGTGGGAGCCTATCTGACTGTCTCAGATCCAGGTCAGTATGTACAGAATGCCCACTCTACCAGCAATGACGCTGTTTCTGGTTAGCTCACTGTTCATCCCGTCGAATCTGCTCATGTTTGATGCTGCTTTTTTTTTTTTAGACAGAGCCTTGCTTCGTCTCCCAGGCTCTAGCGCAGTGGCATGATCTCAGCTCACAGCAACCTCTGCCTCCCAGGTTCAAGCGATTCTCCTACCTCAGCCTCCCAAGTAGCTGGGATTACAGGCGTGCGCCACCACACCCAGCTAATTTTTGTATTTTGTATTTTTGTATTTTTAGTAGAGACCAGTTGGCGAGACTGGTCTCGAACTCCTGACCTCAGGCAATCTGCCCGCCTCAGCCTCCCACAGTGCTGGAATAACAGGCATGAGCCATGAGCCCAGCCAATGCTGCTTTGAAGGAACAGACAGAAAGCAGCCAGCAGTGTGATTTTGAGGGACTTTGCCATGCCTCTGTGTGCTGTGGTTTCCCCACCTGCTCATAAAGGAGGCTGGACTGGATTATGTCAGCGATCATGATTGGCAGCAATAAAGATTTAGTGGCTTTTTGACAGAGTTGCTGCTGATAGTGCAGTTTATTCCATACTCTGGGAATCTACATCCATTCTGCTAAAATGTAGTTAGTGCCTGCTAGGTGCCAAGCCTGTATTAGGCACTGGGGGCCCATAATTTTAAAACTAATAGTTCTTACCCTCATGGAGCTTACATTCTAGAAGAGGGAGAGGACAATAACGCATCAAACGATGACACAGCACCCTGCACACCTTATTCCCGATCTCACACACGTTAAACGATGACACAGCACC